TTCAGGTTGTGCCAGAAGAGCTGCAGCCTCTCCTGCTGTCAGCCCTAGAGGACCCCAGTGACAGAGTGCGTCTGGCAGCTGCCCTGTGCCAGTATGTCATGGGAACAGCTAACAGGCAGGCTAGGAACATTCTTCATAGTGTGCTTCAGCAAGGTGAGAAGGGGTGACTGATTAGAATGAAAGCACTTTTAACACCTGAGACCATCTCATTTGGTATGAAAAAAGCATTTAGTCTCTTCGGCTTCTGTTATAGAAGTCATATTCCGTGCAACAAATTCAAGACAATATCCAATCTGCACACAAATACTGTATGTCACATTACTCTGTCTGCTCTGTTGAATAAACAGTTAACACAATGAAAACTGCAACCACTTGGACTCAGGATACAGAATTGCCGCTGTTAATGTTAATGTTGATCTTATACATCTGCATTAATTGTACTGTGATTTATGTCATTATATTTCTACTGTATATCAGTAAATGCAGAGTTTGGTGATCTTCATGCATTTGGCAGGTGCAACTCTGTAGTTTTATCAAGCTTATCAGTTCATTAAATGTTTTCTGAGCTAATAGTTAATTACTAAGAGTTAGTGTTACTTTCCTTATTATTTTTTTTTAATTCAGTTTCGTTTGGACAGGAAAACAATAATTTTAATATTATTTTTTTTTAATATTTAATATTTAGAAGAACTCTAGCCTATGATTGAAATATGTTCTGTCTTCTTAGATTATCTGCAAAGAGTGAAGAAGGCAAAAATCCATACACACACGCTGAAATAAAAAAAGAGATGAGCTGAAGTAGAATAATAAAGTGTGTTTGTCCTGAAGATTTGGCAGGTGTGGGCGCAGACAGCTGGGCTGCCGCTCAGTGCCTGGCACTGGAGGGAGACACCAGCATAGCTGTCATACAGAGGCTCCTCTCTCAGCTGTACGAAGGCGAAGCACATAGTGACAGAGAACAAGCCACTGTCCTGCTGGCCAGCCTCAGCAAGAGCACTGTGTGTACCTCCCCATGGTTGTTTTTTTCTGTTTTATAGTACCACCGTATTTTCTGATATTCAAAACAAAATGCAGTGTGAGCTACCCTAAGTGTCTGAACTTTAATTCTGCTGCATTGATTGTAATGTGATTTACATAACAGGAATACACTGCTCAGGAGCAAGATTTACATTTCCCATCATTGTTCTTTTGCATCAGTAATAGCAGAGTTTGATGTCCTTTATCTATCTGGCAGGTGAAATTCAGTGGAATTCACTAAAGTGTCTTTTGATGCACAGGATATTAAACATTTATACTGTTAACATGCTATACGTAAAATGGTGAGTTCATGTTTAGAAAGTAATTAAAATTAAATGAAAATCTTTCTATTTAATATGATTTTAACTACATCAGCTCTTTTTCATCCTTGCTCTTACTTTCAGACTTTAGTGCGCTCCCTGCTGGCTGAGAAGCTGAACAGTGGAAACTGGAGAGACAGAGCCGTGTCCTGTAACACCATCGCAGGTCTCAGTGGGCCCATCAATAAGGTAGGGCCTTTTGCACTGTTATCTTGAATCTAATACAAAGCATGTAACTTAAGAGATTTTCATGCTTAAATATACATTCCACTGAGTTAATTCCTCTTTATTCTGTTCATGCGCATCGAGTCATTCTACACAAAAATAATAATAAAAAAACCTTGGTCTCTGCATTAAAGGAGAAAGTATCAAAACTAAGTAAGCAAAACTAAACCTTATTATTAAAGATTAAAACCTCCATCCAGCCTTAAAACAGTAAACGTGCTTAATAAAAAACAGAATGATCACATCTCATATACTGTAAAGATGTAAACTTGTACGTACGTACGTAGATGTTTACATGATCAAATTTAATTTTAGCCTGCACACAAAAGTTATCACGCACAAATGATTATATTTACATCTCATTCAGATGTTTTTGCAGCATTTTAGGACAACCTCCTATGGAAAGCTCTTATGTGTGGTTGTGTTTTAGGACATAGCTAACAAGCTAGTATTCCTGATGTGGAATGATTGGAACAGGAACGTGCGCCTGGCTGCTGCTCGGGCACTAGGAAAGATGGAGCTGGGCAAGGAAGTGCACAATGAACTCAGGTATGGCATGGTCATGGGCTAGGAGGACAGACTGGTCACAAGGTTACTGGATTGAGCTATTTCTCTCGGTGAAAAAAAAAGAGATGCTGATGGTGGTTTTTGGAATTGATCCTGATGATCTTTTCAGGAAAAAGCTGGAAGAAGCCCCCCCCAGCTGGCGTGTAGAGGCGCTGTCTCTCCTGGCTCAGCTGGAAATCATGACAGCTAAGCTGCTACCAGCATTCCTGTGCTGCCTCAGCGATGACTATGCAGCTGTGCGCAAACAGGCTTGTCAGACTGCTGCTGCGCTCGGTATAAAGGATGAAATGGTGAGGGCTGGACTGGGCTCAGATTAACAAAAGTTAAGCAAATTAAATTCACTGAATAAATAAGGTGAAACTGCAGATTCCATGTTTGAATAACTAGAAACTCTACTAGGATAATCTCTTAGCTTAGAATTCTGTATATTTATTTTTGTTTGCAATAAAGATTAATAACATTTTTATGGTTGATTGACAGACTATTCTTAGGACAAGAGAAAAATGAAAATAAAACTGCAAGATAATTTCATTCTCATTTGTATAACTTTATGTACATTAGTAATCAGGTTGAGACTAATGTAAAACTGGGACAAAATATTCTAAATATTTTTTTTTAATATATTTCTCCCCCAATTCTAGGTTTTAAATCATCTGATTCATTTGATGCAGACTGACCCACTGTGGGAAGTTAGAGTCAGAGCCATTTCTGGTGAGATAAGACATTTACTGTGCAATATGACCAAAACTTGGGAAAATTTAAAGCGGTTTATCTGCGTTTACTGTAGAATAACACCTTTGATATTTAGAATCAACAGGTGTCTTTTTAACAGTCTAATCTTTCACTGTTAAAATTATGCAAACCACACTGCCCAAGCTAAATTCCAGTTCAGGCTTTCTTGGTCTAGCCTACGCAAATCCCACCCGTGAATTAAGAAGAAGTTTATTTCTTTCAAACCTTACTTACTGCATGGTGGAGCTGTTGGCACAGAATATGTGCCCTTTAACATATAGATGTGGGATCTACTGTAGTTGATGAGTGGAACACCCAACCTCCCAACTGTATTGGTATCCCCCTAGATGAAAAGTCATATTCAAAATCCACAATATTAATTAAATGCATAATTAAAACTTTTTACCTATTTTGCCCAAGACTTACAATTCCTGTTACATTCTGCTGTATCCTTGTTTTTATATAATTGGATTTTGCTCATCACCAAACCTCCAAGGCCTGTTCTGCACAGCCACAGTTTTCAGGCTGGAGGCAGGCCCAACACTGATTGAGACTTTAGAGACGGGGAAGCCAGTCACTTTCATAGTGGTGTGCCACAAGCCAGCAGCAGCTGTTGGATTGTGCTAAAGGAAAAGTGGAGTATGTTTGGATTTAGGGTTTCTGATGTAGTTAATTTTCCCTCACTCCTGTGTGTCAGCCCTGGGTAAGATTGGCTGTCTGACACCTGCTGTCCAGGAGCACCTCCTCTGGGCACTACACCATGAGGAGGAGCCCAGGGTTCGTATCGCCACATGTGATGCCATCAAAGCCCTGTGTGTAAGTGGGCCTGAGCTACAGCACTTCTTGCAGGAACGCCTTATCCTTGAGGCCAACCCAGAGGTACAGAGGTAAGGCATACACATGGACTAATAATAATCGCAATCCTTATATGGTAAGAATGTATTTTGCATACCCCTTTAAAAGGCAAGCACTATTTAATTTCCATTCCAATATTTGTATTTGTACAAAATAATCTCTTTGAGGGGCACATTTCCAGGCATATTCAATTTCATATTGCCATGCTGCGGTATATCTCCATTTGTATATCCTTTCTCTGCAGGAAAATTGCTGATGTCCTAAGAACATATGGCTGTAGTCTGAATAATGACAAGGATACGATCTGTAAAATCAAGGAACAGGTAGCTTCTTCTTACGATTGTGCTAGAACCTAAAAAAACTGGAAGAAACAAAATACTACTCAGCTGTAAAGAGTGTTTGTTATTTAAACGGTAGCCTATTTCCTCTCTAAAGGTAGACAAACTGTGCACAAAAGGTGTCATCACTCAGAAGGTTCTCATGCTGGAGGAGCTGGAGGAAACACACATGCAGCAGAAACGACACCTTGACCTGGCCAGCGATCCAGGCAGACAGTTCACACACACAGATATGGCTCGGTTGCTGGAGGACTCGTACACAGGTCAGCGAAACTAGGAAGAAAACACAAGGCCGCACAATTGTTCCAACTCATTTTTGAAAGAATATGTTCAACTTTAACATGACTCACAGAAAATAAACCATATCTCTTCCAGAACATCATAACCCACAGCCCACTACCCTGCCACCTGATTCAAGGCAGTCTACTGATGAGACCAAAACCCAGGTGCCACATCCTTTTTCTGTTTCTGTACTCCATTCATCTGTTTGTTCCCATTTCCATCAAAGTGACATATATTTTGAAGATAACGGGAGCCAAGTTTCACTTGTTTTTCAAGTCTATTTGGAGCTACAGATAGAGTATTGTCATATTTTTTTTTCCCATTAAAAAAAATATCCTTTTCATTCAAACAGCAAAGTGTGAATCGTGTCACTGAATTTCTCCATGCTTTCAGTCCTTTTCAGATACCTTCCGGTCTTCAAGCCCAGCTACAGGAGATTCTATTACTACACCACAGGGACACCTCTCCATTGAATTCCATGTCTAATTACACAAACAAAGAGGATCAACTTCTCCTTCAGGCATGTGTCAACAAGAAGGATCTACTGTACACACAATTGTTCTCTGGACAGTTACGATAATTTAAGATGGCATAAATCATGAAAAACAATCTCATTAAAAAAAATCTTAAGTAATATTTGAATAAATGGACTGTACCAGCAAAGCAATAGTTAAAACTGCATGGGATTTATTTATAAAAGAGATTAATAAGAAGACATTTTAAAATATCATTAGCCAATAAGCATGAGTCATAACAGTGGAAACCGTAAAATGTATTAATACAGAATATCAAGGAACATACCGTTGGTTAAAAAAAGTCTTCCTCTTGATTGTTTTTAAGGCAAAAGATGTGGTCCCAAATTACTTATTGTAAACACAATGCTAACACTTCAATTATGAGTAGTAGTCAGTAATAAGTAAAAGTAATAAGTGTACAAAAACTATGAATATCCTGTTTTAAACTGATTCCTGTATTAATGATGATAATACTAGAGGTGCTTAGAAGTATACTTTCTGCATTGTTAGTGTTTTTCTGGTGATTGTTTTGGGGCATTAATCTGTAGATCCTTCCACTGTAGAATTTGCTTAGACAGCTCTTCCACATCTGATACCAAAGACAGAAGCCGAGTGAGAGCATTATCCTGTGGGGGAGAAAAAAAGGATTCCTACTTATATCAACATTCAGTGACAAACATTGTTAAGGCTCTACCTAAATTGTTGTATAAATATACTCTACTGGAAGCAAAGAAGGAAAAATACAGAAAAGGTAATTATATTTATTAAATAAGTGCATTCATTTTTAAAAACTTCAACTGAATTATTTTCAGAAAATTAATTAAGACAACTTTAAGTAATGTAAAACCTCTGTAACATTAAGGATTTTTACTATGCTTTTGTTTTCACAGAAAATAATCTTGGGGAAACTTGTTTGCAAAACAGCCTCTGTGATTAGAATTGTTTTTCAAACTGTACTTCCTTATAATACGTTAATAGTTCCCCAAAAGTTCTTCTGTATTTCAGAACACCTTTATAGATTAAAAACAAGCCAAATTCCACTACTCTCAACGTTACAATTAAATAGCAAATGTGTGACTTGCTATCAACATCACATCAGTCTCACCATTTGTATGCATATCTGTATTAACTGACTGTTTTTGTCCTAATGTGTCTTTGCAGAAAAGAGAAAAGTGGAGTATAGTTAAATATGCTTAGTTTTGTCCTGCTTTCCAAAAGATTGGTTGTCTCACTAAATGTAGAATACAAGGTACCACATCCAAGATTCTGAGTGATCAAAATGCATGGATATTTTGTCAATTTGGGGTTCCAGAGAGAAGTCAGGAAAAACAAACATTGCAAATCCCATCATCTGACATCATGCATCGACAGGTGAACATCAAGCACAGAGATTCTATATCATGCAGAGTTACTGTTTGCTCAAGTTGCATCATGCATTTTACAATAAGAAATGTACATTGCAAAATATTTAATAATAATAATTCCTTAGTTTATATAGCTCTTTCCTGGACAATCCACTCAAAGCGTACAGTGTGCCAGTACGCTCCCTTCACACCAGCTATATGAAATCACAAACTTAGCAGGGCCCTAGCTGTTATGCTTTTCACTCCCCTTTGGATTTTTGTCTTCACTTTTGCAATGCTGCAGCTATAAATGAATTCCTGATGGTGATACTTGTTATTTTAGAATACAAACATATTTAACACACTGATGTCTTATTTTGATCAATATATTCAGTATCCAAAGAGCATTTCATGGGGTTGTATGCCTAAGGAACTTTGAGTAACAGATGTTGGGAGAAGTTTTGCTCTTAACTGTAGGATGCGGTAATTTGCGAATTTAGCCAGCAGGAGGAACTGGCTACTAAGATGCAGTTTTTGGAACAGCTGTTTGTTACAGGTTGTAAAAAAGGCCTGTCAGAGAAACTGGCCTTCAATATTATTTTTTTGGCTTGGTATTCCTAAGAAATAAATTAGGCTCAGATTATGGCCCAGGGATAGTCCTGGTTCTGGAGTGCTGGCATGTCTGCAGGTTTTCATTCAAACCATGCTCTTAACATGCTCAATCAGCTCAGTTCTGGTTTAATAGGACCAATGTAAAAGCTTCTCCCATTGTTTTAGGAGCTGGTGCTTTGAAGAAACCTAGAAAACTGGCAGACGCACTGGCCCCTCCAGGACCAGGGGTGCCCACCCCTGCTATAGCCGCTTGAGATAACTGAATGCACATACCAGGCTGGCCATGGACTGGCCAATGTCAGGAATGGAGCGCGTTGTCTGCACCCTGCTCTCCAGGTTCTTGATGAAGTCTGCGGCCATACTTACGAGCTGCACCACATACCTGCAGCGGGGAAGATTGTAATATAGGCGCTATTTTGGGAAGTCTGACTGCACATTTCACCACACGGATTCAATGGAAACGCCTGTACCCACCCGCCGGGGCGGCTGAGGTGGGCTTGACAGAAACACATTCATGTAGGCAGCTGCGTGGGCATGCGTAGCCTGCAAAGGAGCAGGTAAAGAGTTATTCCATGCTGAAAGAAAAAGAAAGCTCCACAGCCAAAATGGTAAGTCTCTTTTCTTTTGCTTTCAGCAAGGAATAAACCCTTACCTGTTCCTTGACAGAAACATGTACCCCCATGAGGATTCTTCTGGCTTGGCAGCTTGTTTGCTTTCCTGCAGGGGGTGAAGGTTCCCCTCTTATTGCTGTTCCAAGTGAAGCAAGAGAGGTGGCCATCATAATTAAGGGAAGACCCTGGGGCCCCTTTCCTCTTTTTGACATCCCATTGACATCAGTATCAACGAATAATCTTCTACCAGGTTGTTGCGTTACAGACTTGTCAAGATATCATTTCTGGAAGAAAACTGTTAAATTGCAGTTTGTCTTAAACACTGAAGGGCTGCCTCTATACTTGCCTGTGCAGGTTGGCCTCAACGGGCAGATTCTGCTGGCAATGTGGTTTCATCAGCCTTTGCCAAAGACTCCTACGTTCATGCAATACTTCCTGCAAATGGGAGGTGAACTGCTGCAGGGCTTCAAACTTCTTGGCTGGAGAAACAATAACTTCCATCACTGTCCATATAATTTTAAAACAGGCAGCACCGAGACAAGAACTCAAGTCCCAGCTCTTCTTAAAAATGTCAATGTAACCACTGCAGGAGTTAATTTAATATTACAAAGACCAAAAAAGTGAAGCATTTAGCTTAATACATTCTTCATATTACTTTAAAGTAAGTGAAGTGAACATTTTGAGCATTAACATCTCGTAAATCTCTATTAGAAGCCAGAAAAGTATATTCAAGCAACTCTCCTGGAGGAGACTGTATTGCTACCAAGTTGGACATGTACCACCTACAGAGATAAAAGCTGTGGGTGACCTCAGCTCCCTCTTTTTCTAGCTGTAAGAGTTCCACTTCCAGGCTTTTCTGAAAGCAAGAAACAACGCACAATGAGAAGCATTCTGTGAAGTACAGGCGCAACAGCTTGAGCAACGCGAAGGGAACCCGCCCTTTCCAAAACGGATTGAAAACATTCAATGATTCAGGTGCAAGGAAAACAGAAAGGATACTTTTTCAGAGAAGTGAGAAAACAGGTAGCGTCTGCGGAGGTCAGAGGTTACCTCGTTAATGTCGTGCCTCAATGCTGCAACTTGTTCAGCTTCAAGGAGTTGAGGAGAGAAGACAGTTATGTCTCTGGGGATGCCATCCACGTCCTGCAACACGGCAAGGAAGCCGAGTAAGCATCTCATTACCATGTGCATTATACTTCAGTTCACACCACAAGCATAAAACAGAAGGAAAAGGAACCCCGAGGAAAAGTGAAGCATTTTTGTCAAATACCATGTCTCAGGGGAAGAACATGATACGTATCATTTAAAAACGTGAAGTGGACTGAACCTAGAAAATACAGCTGGATACATGCTGAAAACCCGTGTACACTTCAGATTGATTCGTTTGAGTAACGTCCGGTGGCTCGGTTGAAAGCGTGCTCTACCCTCACCTCAGACAGCGCTCCGGAAGCCACACATCTGGCCAGCACCTGGGCTGCAGGGGTCACGGCATAGGGCGCCGGCACCCAGGGATTCATCTCCAGGGCAGGGACGCGCCACTCATCAACTGAAATCATCATCGGTATTATTCGGCACTGAATAACAAGCACTGATCGGTAAAGACGACAAAGGCACTGTTGGTGTTGGGTGTTGGTGATGAAACAGGAAAATGCAAGACAAATAAGATACATTTCAGACGTTGCACTTACTTCTAACCCGTAGCTTACTGTAAGTACAAAACATGTACCGGTAGTGGTTATGTTTACAGTTTTTTTTTATGCAACCCAAAACCGTTAAAAATCTAATGGAATTAAACAAAATCATTTAAATAAATTCGAATAAACATCTGCAAAAATCTGAAAGCCGTCGAACACACAATTACTGACATTTTCGAGTGCAGTTCTTTTTGATTCAGCTTGAAGGAGACAATACATTTTCTTAATCCCCATTTAAAACTTTAAATATAACAAGACTCATATTTCGCCGCTGGTAGGTTCGCTAGAAGAATATATCACCTTAGCGTGTTTGAGAACAGGAAGGATCCGTGTTATAATACAACATAACAATAATCTCACCTAAGTGTGATCTTATTTTCCCTCTGCAGTCCCATCACTGCCATTCTATTTTAAACAATCCCGCACCCGCCTCTTTTCTGCGCACACTGATGACGTATTTTAAAAGCGATTTGGTAATTTGTCAAATTTGTTTCCTCGCCTAACATAATAATACAAGACATTTGCACAATTTTAATGTCAAATCACTTATTTTATTGCAGAATTAGTTGCAAAATAAAGATGAGGTTTACTGCGGCTGATATTTTTCAGTTTCTTAAATAATAACATAATAGCACGAACGTGAACAACATTTTGCCATGTTGTCAGTGCCAGTCTTGTTTGAGGGTTCAAGGTAAAAGTTCCGTGAAGTTGCCCCCCCCCCCCTAAAGACAGCACAAACGATTAAACCCACTTCATTCGTTAGTGCTGCGTTTGTGCCGGTTTGTGTCGCTGTAAGTAGCGTCTGTGCTGCTTTCGTTTCAGAGATGTAGCGCCTTGTTTTTTCGGGTAATCACGTGACTATTTACAAGGACATTTACGGGTACCAACAAACTGGGTACTTGAACTCCTGATTGTGATTAAAACAATGCGGGCAATTTGTTTTCCGAGTCCGTCTTTTCGGGTTGGGTGGATGTTTCAGTATATTTCAATATAGCGCCTTCTTTTCCTGCCTTTGACGTCACTCTGTGACGTAAAAACATTTAAGTCACGACTATCAGATCTTTCAGTTGCGCTCTTTTGACCAGTTGACCCCAGACTTTGCAGCCTTTACACGAATAAACAGTCTTACATTTAGGGAGGAGTTGCTATGTTAGCTCATTGGGTAAGGTGTTTCTTTTAATTTTTAACCATGTTCTCGAAAATGTATTGCTTGTGCACTCCTTTCATTAGTGGTGAAGAGACACCAGTTTCCAAATTACCGCTGGTACAACACGAGAGCCCATATTCACATTTTTATGTATTAGTTTCAAGATCGAAATAATTTAACAATAAAAACAAAATTGAAAGCACTAGCATAATAATATAATGATCACAGACTTTACATTTCTATTCATTTTTACGTACATAGTAGAAGGTGTTTCCCCTACCTTAAATATACAAATTAAAATTGTTCAAATACCATGTATTCATTACAGAAAGCAGCGGAGACAGTTATATTGCAAATAAAAAATGTATTTATTTCGAAGAGTACGGGACATTGTGAATCAATAAAGACGTTAAAAAAATAAGACGATGTAGTTATTTTGCAAATAAGTAAAGCATTTTAAAAATAGCTTCTCATTAACAAAAAACAAGCCGATCCACCCGGCGCTGCTAGCTTGAACAGCTCTCAGACCCGTGATTGGCTAAACCCCCGAACAGCTCGGGCCACGATTGGGTGAAGATTGAGAATCGACACTCTGATTGGGTAAAGCGCCACAGCGGAAGTTCTGTGTATACCGTGTGTGCTGTATGAGCACGCTGGATATACAGAAATACATCCAATGGTTTCCAATTTCTGATCAAGCTTAGAGAAGTCGCACTGAGGTCAAAACTGAATAGCAGACAAAGAATGCCATGGCATCCACAGCACGTTCACGATTCCGACAGCATGTCACGATAGGAGTACGCGCACATCGGACACATCGCGATACCCATTTTGACTGGCGGATCACTGTCAAGGCGCCACTGTTGCGACATTAAGTCCATATATCGCGATATAACATACACGACAAAATGCCCCCGCCCCCATGTCCCGACATGGAGCCCGCATATCGCGATATGGCGTACCCCCGACAAAACGCCCACCCCCATGTCGCGACATGGAGTCCACATATCGCGATATGACATACCCCGGCAAAAGTGCCCCGCCCCCATGTCGCGACATGAAGCCCCCATGTCGCGATATGAGATACCCCGGCAGAAGCGCCCCGCCCCCATGTCGCGACATGAAACCCGCATATCGCGATATGACCTACCCAGCCAAAATGCCCTGCCCCCAGGTCGCGACATGAAGACCCCATATCGCGATACGACATACCCCGGCAGAAGCGCCCCGCCTCCATGTCGCGACATGAAGCCCGTATATCGCAATATGACATACACCGACAAAATGCCCTGCCCCCATGTCGTGACATGGAATCCATATGTTGCCATAGAACATACCCTGGACAGGATATGCTGACCCCATGTTGCGACACAAAGTCCATGTATCACGGCACGTCCTATCTGGGTATATCATGTCCTGATATGAGACCTTTGTTGCGACAGCAGTTCCAGGGTGGCATGGAACCAAGGCGCCAGTCGTGATATACACTGCCGCGATATACATGGGGTCCCAATCATGACATGCTGCGGAGCTCTTGTCGCAATGGTATCCCACAATTACGCGTTTGGCAACAGCGTGTCAGGGTAGGGAAAGCAAAGGAAAACGTGCCATAGAAAATAAAAACCATGGATCTTACAATCACGATTATTTTACATACATTAGAACCACAGGTTTATGTCACAGATGTTAATTTGTTGGCATGCGTCAAGTCTTAGTATTATTCACATCTAAGGAGGCTCATAGTTTATGGATGTTGTCTTTAAAATGTTAAGGTTACGAGCTAAACTATAACAGAGCGCTTGAACTCGGCAGACGGGGTCACTGGAGGTCAAAGTCACCGTGCATGTTCACGTGATCACCGGGAAACTAAGGCGCTATATCTCGGGAACGAAAGAAGCACAAACGCTAATTTCAACGGCACAAACCGGCACAAAAGTAGCACTAACGAATGAGGTGGGTTTAATCGTTTGTGCAGTCTGTAGGGGGGCCATCTTCATGGAGCTCAAGGTGAACTTCGGTAACAGAATAGAAAGGGCATCTCTTTGGCCCTTCAAACTGTGCATTGTATAGACTAATCATAATTATGTCTTAATTAAAATATAATGTTCAGATTAAAGTACTAACTTCAGGTGAGATTATCAAAATAGCGAATATCAAATTAGTCATTTTTTCTACGTTTTTTAAAGAGAAGCAGAATTTCATGTGATCCCTTCTTCAAATAGTCACGAAACAAATTAATCCCTAGTCTAGCAACGTAGTGTTCTTCCATATATACCAAAATTTTATAATTAACATATGATCCAGACCAAGTGTTTATTTGTTTTTTCAAAAGTGCAATATACCTTGAACTTTTTAAAATACATGTCAAGATATAAAAAGTTTTAGAGCTTAAGGCTGTTTTGTTGCCATTGGTAACATGGCTGCTCGGTGGGCTAGCCCATTTCCTTTCGTCAGCAAGTTTGTCTTTTCTGTTTCCGGGAGATTAAAAACAAAATCTTATTTAGCGGCTTCTGTTCTCAGTTCATGTGAGCCCGTGTTGTTGTAAATAGAGCAATCATCTTAACGCACCGAAAATAAGCTTTGGGAATCAGGTAACAACAATCGTTTTGTTTTGCTTCGTTAATGTTTAAAAACAATTGAAAATAATCAACATATTTATTTTGTGTTTTTGTTACACAGCTAAAATCATTGTAGCGCGATCTGTTTGAGAGTACAATATTATCTGTTGTAATTTAGACGTATATTTCTGCGTATTTCAGAAAATATTGTTTTGTGCTAAGTTTGCAATAACGTGACTCTGGCGCCTTCCTTGGCATGTTGTTATTTAATGTAAGTCGTATCAAACTACATTGCTTTGTAGCCTGATTGAAACTTGCACCTAACAGTATTTTAAAATGTTTCTATCAGGATCAAGGGCGTTCGTCTGTTTCTTTTTTATTATTTTTTTCACGCCATCCTAATAAACCGACATGTTTAATAAAGTATTATTATTAAAAACGTCCCATGTTATAACACTTTAAAGAAAAACAGTCATTTTAACGCTTTCATGTTACATTGGGCTATTCTTTCAAGTGAGATTGGTAGTGATTTTTTTTGTTTTTGTACGGGAAAACAATACCATTGCACAGTCCGAATGAATCAGGCGAAAGGAAAAAAACTGTAGGTGGTACAACAACATAACTGTAGTTATTTCGATTAAGAAAAGGAATTCATGTATAATTCATCTTGCTCCATGCTCTTTCCCCGTACAGACTGGAACTGTAAAAAAACAACAGGGAACGGATTTTCGCGGAGGCTGTGTATAGCGGGAAGCGAGTGGGAAACTGGGCCCTGTGCATTGAGGAGTGGAGGCGGAGTACTTTCTGCCTGGGATCCGTGGAGGCGATTGAAAAGCGAAGCCCAGCAGCGGGGAGCAGGGATGGGGAACAGTGCTCTCAAGGCTCACATTGAGACGTCCCAAAAGACTGGGGTGTTTCAGCTCACCGGCAAGGGCCTGCCCGAGGTGCGAGATAGCGGGCTGCCCTGTCTGTCTTTCTTCGAATAATACTCCCTGGCAAATTCTCCTACATTGTGACAACTGCTTATGTGGTTTCCTTATGGTGGGATCTAGTCTGTTGTCCTATTTGCTATTATTTTCAGAGGCTTACAGTCAAAGTGGTTCTGCCAGTTTGTGCTGCTGTCTTTCAGCTGCAGTGTCATGGGTCCGAGTCAGGACAGAAGCACCTTCTGTGTGGAAATTGCATGGTCTCCCCGTGACATTTTTTTCTTTACAAACTGGTTTTCTCCCTCCTTCCAAAGATAAGTTGGTAGACATTGGCTGTGCTGAGTAGCCCTTTCAATGAGGAGCAGGTGGAGGGGTCCTTTTTCATTAATCTACCCTGTCTGGAGCAACTCGGCTACTTTTTGTTTTTTACAGGGATTGAAAATGAGGGTTTGGTTTGTTGCCCAGTTTATATAATGTAGTTCTTTTCTAGAGACCTTCAGTGTTCCCATATTCTTCTGAGTTGTGTCATTCAGTTTCTTAAACCCTTTGCTGAAAATATACCCGAACTCTTACGATAATGCTGACATTCTGTAGACGAAAATGAGCTTACATGTAAAATACTGAATTAATTGCAATGTGTGTTTTTTGATAGACAAACTGCATAATGGTTAAAGCATTTTGATATTGCAGATAGTCTTCTTATTGCAGATTTTTAAAGGTCTCAATGTTCATTTTAGGTCTGTTTGCTCTCTTTTATCCCTGCATGCTTTGTACTTTGGAGTTTTCACTCAATCTCTTCTGCTGCAGAGTGCTCTGTGTCTTTTTGGCAAGTGTCATGCAATGCTGGGCAGAGTAAACGCGTACTGTAAGATTTCAGCTGGAGTAGTCTCCAGTAGCAACAGCACTCTCCGCAGTATTGTGCTTAGCAGACATCCTACACACTGCATTATCACAACCCAAAAATTCATGAAGGTGTCAGTGCACACATTTTTAGAGACTCTTGCCATGTCAGTCCTTTTAAAAAAGGTATCAATGTACTTGATACAGTTTTAGGTTGTTGCCTAGTGGTAGTTCTCTCTTAGTTTCTGTAGGTGTTTATATCTGTCCATTCTGGTGCATTTCAGTTCCCTGAAGACCTACAGAGACTGTCCAGTAATTTACGGACAGTGGACCTGTCGAACAACAAAATAGATGTGTTGCCTTCCTTCATTGGAACTTTCCTCAGCCTCAAGAGCCTCACCCTGAACTGCAACAAACTCAGTAAGAGTTTTCAGTGGCTGCTTTGTTGGTTATTTCAATAATACTTACCACATGTGTGCTTTACCTTTAGCCCTAGACACATACAATTATAAGATAACAGTAATGCCAAAATCCCTTTGTAGTGCATAAGAGATAATATTTTATGGTTTCATATAGTGGTGTTGTTAAACCATTTCATTTAGCTGTCACTGTGTTCTACAAAGAAAAAGCATTTAATTAAAGAAGTAAGAAAAGGTCTGGTGAAGATATATAAGAGAGACTTCTTTGCATCAGCAATGTGATGTGCATCCATACCTCTTTTTACTAATATAATTCTTGCCCAGAAACCAATTCTTTCCAGACCTCAAAAATGTCACCCCTGCTTGTGTTTTTAGTAATAAAAACATAAATTAATTTAAAAAAAAACATGAAACATACCTTATTACAGTACTTACAACTTGAATTGATTTTTGTGTAATTACACACACTCACAGTTTTCACAAATTTTCTTACATGAAGACTAAGAGAGCACACAATAACAAACAACACATGAAGCAAGATGCACTGAACTATTTCACACGTCTCTCATGCCTCTCGGTAGCCTCTGTGCTAGCTCTCACCCCACACTAGTTAGTGGAATGTCATATTATTATACATGAAACACGTCATATGATGCTTTCCTCTTCACTCTTTACATTTGACAGAGGTATCAACATTTTTCTTTATATTGTTTCTTCATAGTTTGGAAGTTGGGTTTCATTATTTGAAATTCACATGCTTTGCAGTGTTGACATTTCATAAAAAGAACATTCATAAAAAGAGGTGCGGATGTACAGAATTGCTCTTGAAAATTCTGATGACTTTGTAATGTTTCTTGTGTGTGTGTGTTTCCTCAGCAAGCCTCCCAGAGGAGATTGGGAAACTGAAGAAGCTGGAGACTCTGCACCTCAATGGGAACCAATTGCAGAGACTACCCGTGTCAGTGGGACAGCTGACTGCGCTGCGCACACTGGGCCTCTCTGGCAACCGCCTGCGGGAGTTTCCCAAAAACCTTGGCAGCCTGCGTCACCTGGACCTGCTAGATCTGTCCAAGAACCACATCCAGGCTGTGCCGGCAGAGGTGGGCACCCTGCAAGCCATCGAGATAAACCTCAACCAGAACCAAGTGAGTCTCCGAGTCAGGGCGCACAACTGAGCAGACCACAGATGTAGGACAGATACAATCTTATTACTGAACTAACAGTTTGGCAAAACATGCAAATAACACGGCTTGACTTCCCTTTCAGGAATCAGCTGATGGAACGAACCATCTCTTTTTGCAGTCAACCATTTAATCCTTACAGTAGATACAAATCTTTCTTTCTTAAGCAAAATATAGTCACTGTTTGATGTAATATATTAAGTATTAATGGAGAGCAATTAACATTTTCTTTTCCTCAGACACCTTATTGCATTTTACCATTCCCCTAGCTTTGGGGAAACAGACCAAGGCAGTTGGTTTTAACAGATAGCAGATAAGCTTTGGGGATGAGGGTTTGCACTACACCCACACAAGTATTCAAGTATTGGGTAAAAGGCTTAACCAAGGTTGTGCTGAGATTGTGATAAATTGGAGACCTGTCTGTAGTTTACTTGCAGCAGTTCATCTCGTATCTTCTTTCTTTCGTGTTGATGTGCGTCTGCCTGTCCTCAGATCTCTGAAGTGTCCCCAGATGTGTCAAAGTGCCCTCGATTGAAGGTCCTGAGACTGGAAGAGAACTGCTTGGAGCTGTCCTCTGTGCCACTGTCCATCTTCTCAGACTCCCAGGTCTCTCTGCTTGCCCTGGAGGGGAATCTTTTTGAGGTCAAGAAGGTCCGGGATCTGGGAGGATATGACAAGGTAAGCTGTAGGCACAGCTTCACTATAAGTGTCATTCCTTCTCTGTATCTGCTCTGTATGGCATGTGCACAGCTAGATTGTCCATTGGAGTTGAAAACAGTCCTGCTGTTTCCTGCTATAAAACTCCTATTTCTTCTGAAATGCCCTGGGCTGCTGCTCTCTCAACACAACTCTGAAGATATTGAAGTTTGTTTTTGGTACATCCCCTACGAACACTTTTTCCCATATGTTCCCATTTGAGTATAGAGAGACAATTGTGCTTTTGCTGAGGGATTGCTGTACTGCAAAGATATTAATTAGTACAATATTTGATTCCAAAGGTGAATTGCTCACACAGTATTCCCGTCTATAAAGTCTGCTGCTAAACCGTTTTCTGTTTCATCTTCTAATGGAATAATTCCAGGTGAAAAGCAGTATGTTTGCATATATATCTGAGAAGGAATTAAGGTCAAGAGCACTTTTGAAAGCATGCACTTCTAAAGAATATGTGATATGAATATTAATTTGCTTCTGGCTAATCACAACAGGCTACCTGATAATCCATGGCTGTTCCTTCTAGATTTATACAGTGTTGTCATTCAGATATCACACTGTCCAAAAATGGAAGAAACCATGTTCTGTGGCTACAGACTCTGACCTTACTGTATATGTGCACAAAAGCAGAATGGGATGTTTCTAGAGGATTATACTGTACATCTCCTGTAGCTGTTGGACAAGAGCTGATTCATATTTATACCCCAAATTCATTGAGTGTGTATTTGTGAATATTTTCAAGTGCATTTTACTGTGTTTCCTTGTTGAGCTTTCTTGTTTTATTTGGCAGTACATGGAGCGATTCACTGCTACAAAGAAGAAGTTTGTTTGAAGTCTGGCTTCTGGAGGGCACTTTTAAGAATGGAGGAGATGGGATTTACAGTATAGCTTCCTCTATACCTGTCAGTAACGGGAGAACAAGGAGAGAGAGGCTGTATGATCTCACAGAGCCATCAGAAGGACAGAGCTACTCAGCTGTCCAGAAGACTGGAGACCACTTCCACAGCACAGAATGCAATTTTTTAACACAAAACTGCATATATATGCATGGGCTGCATATAGAGATTTGATTGATTTCTCACTGATAAATTGGTTGAAAAAGGATAGGTCTGTAAGATTAATCCTTTAAACAATTTGGTATGTGATCCTGCCAAAATAATTACTTTTCTCAATACTCAACACTATTCTAGACCTGTGTCTAGAGAAAATTGTGTAAATGTTATTTTTTATTAATTGGCAATCTTCACTATCCACTTTGCTCTCAATACATTGGGCCTATTTCTGAAACAATGCAGGAGTCTCATGAAACAAGTAAAGGTGTTACTTTTTTTAAAAAATGCAGTGTAATAATGATAGTATTTATATGCATTGCTTGTATGTACTTCAGGTTTTTATAAACATTAAAAACAGCTTCATTAGCAAAAAAAAA